TTTTCATTCTAAGAAAAAATACACTTTAAAAGGTGACGTTCAGTTGTGACGCGGTGATAACCCCTATACTCTATGTTTTAAACATCTACAAAATAAATTCAAATAAACATAATCAAATGAAAGTTTCAATGTTAATTAGATTTGCATTTGTGCATCTTTTGGTATAGAGTATTTGACAATATGACGCCAAATATAAAAGATATGGAAACTGTGACATTTCTTTTGGATCAACCCTCGTATATAAGCTTTTCACTTTTCTTGATGAAAAAAGGTTGATTTAAAAGTTACTACCAGAAGAACTTTTTAAGTAAACAATAAACGCATTAACGTACATGTGTACTTGGCGTGTGTACCTTTGAAGTGCTGCCATTCTAAATGCTTTTAAACAGATCCATCACACTTTTCATCATTTTGACTTTCATTAACAAGCTACGAAGTCATTTACATCGAATTCGTCTAAATGCTGCTTATACTTGTCAAATCTTCACATTACTACGACTAGAAAATTGTCTAATTTCCTTAAGGCTTGGATTTTAAAATCATCTTTTCTTCGTTCAATACACATGGATACTAAACTTCATGAAAAAATAAAATCAAGTAGGACACGTTATATCTTGTAAGATAGAGACAAAGTTATAAAAGTCATATCTATTTAAACAATACAGATAAAAAAAAAAGAAAACTTGGACCTCTTGAAACATCAGAGATGAGGACAGGTGCCATAGAGAAGTAAGCTCCTTGTAATGATCAGAAAAAGGAGGAAACCGTGCACAATTCAGTATGTAAATAATGATCGAATAGTTTGTATGATAAAACGCCAGTCAACATTTGATATGATGATGGATTGCATTTGCTGCCAAGAAGACTTCGTATGTAGGTGATAAGGGTATACTAATACTGATTCTTTAAAATGGAAGTTGACGATGGAAAAGTTGACGTTATTCCGTTTGTTATAAAGTTTTGTGTTTAGATTAACGCCTTTTTCTGGTAAAATATCCAAATATGTAACAGATGTGTCAATCTCTGTGGATTCATTAATTTTGAGTTCAAAGGGGTGTGTATAATTAGCGTGACAACGAATCTGAACATCTATACTTTGTAAAACATCGTCGATATATCTAAATGTTGATTTAAAGACAAGAGCGAGAGACTTCCTTCCTTATAGAAGTTAATAGACTCTGCTTTATAATAAAACATATAGAGATAATGAACAGTATTCAAGATCAAAAGTCCATAAAACAATACAAAATAAGATCAGAGCAAACACGGACCTCCAAAGCATCAGCAGTGGGATCAGGTGCCATTGAGGAGTGAGCGTCCCCTGTAGACTGCTCACACCCGCCGTGTGCTCCTTGTCATGATCGGAAAATAGCGGAAAAGTCCGTCGTCAATTCAGTGTATAAATAATGGACTACCAATTGGTATGAAAAACGTTAATCAGCATTTGACTCAATGATGAATTGTATTTACTGACAAGGTCATTGTATCGACCATAGGGCTTACGAAATGATGACTTTACACGAGACTGGTGATATTCTTGTTTCTTCAGCTTGTTTTTCAATAATTTACCTCGTTTTAGAAGTTATTCACACAAAGAGCTTGCTTTTGCATATCGAATCAACTGAGATATATAAACTCCGTATACAGGTATATTGCTGCATGAGTAAAGGAAGTTAACGATTGTAAAGTTAAAGTCATCAAGTTTATCATAAATTTTGGTTGTAACATCACCATTAGCGTCTTTTTCAAATAAAATATCAAAATATGAAACAGATGTGTAAGACTCTGTGGTAATTTTTTGTCTCAAGCTCACCGGGATATATTGTATCGACATAATAATGGAATTGCCATTGTTCATTGACAATACGTCGTCGATATCTAAATGTCGAATTGAAGGCCACTGCAAGTGTTTTTTTTTCTTTTCACTCATAAGATTTTGGACAAATTCTGCTTCATATGAAAACAAAATAAAGTCTGCCAATAATTGGGCGCGATTGGTACCCATGGAAATTCCAATTGTTGGTCTTGTTAGACTGTAGACCTGGTCTCCAAAATCCACATAGATATTGTCAATCAGAAACTCAAGCATGCATCTTTTTGATAAAAACTTCAGAGTTGTTGTGTGTACAATCAGAGTGTTTTTTTTTAATCAAAATAATTTTGCAAATGACCAATGACAAGGTAAGTAAATTTAGTTCCATATATATATCGTTGTTCATTTTGGTTCTTCGGGATATTAAAAATTTTCAAAACTGACATATGAATTTGAAGAATTTCTTCCTTAGAAAGGGAACTGTAAGTTGGATTACCACTTGTAAAATGCAGACTGACGTTTTCAGACTAATTGTTAGGCCATTATTTACACACTGTTTTCTACGACGGATGGTGTGTGTGAACAGTCGACAGGTGATGCTCACTCCTCAATGGTTCCTGATCCCATTTCTGATGTTTTGGAGGTCTGTTTTCTCTACTCCTATTTTATATCTTATTTTATGGACTTTTAAGCTTGAATACTTTTACCTGTCTCCGAATATATTTTATGAATTAGCAGATACCCGACAAACAAAAACAAATTTGTATGGGCTTGTATGTTTTTACAAAGGTTTTTACATATATACATGTATGTGGAACTTGTATGCTTAATTCAGGTTAACTGTGTACTTTAGAAACGTTTGCAAAATCTAGATCAATTGAGACGGTGAAATCGACATTCCCTGGATCTATATGAAAATCATAAATAATTAATAACTATTGACGTAAGAAAACAAGACTTGAAAAGTGCTTAACCACTGATTGGCTTTCCTTTAAGGTTCCGGAGATACGATCAATATTTCTTTTTAAGTTTGAATTGTTTCTAGCACAATGTCCATAACAACAACTAAACTGAACTCAGAAAATAATTATAATATAAAACAATATCATGTCTTATAATATGTTTTTCAATTATACTCATAATGTAAAAATATCATACATTGACGACGATGAAAATATCAAAATGTTGACTTTAAACGGGGTTGTTGAAGTTCAGTAACATCAAAGATGCAGATTTCAACACAACTGGTCCAGTGAAATAAAAAGACATGGTAAAGAGGAAAAGCATTGACCCCTGAAATTCCAGAGATGGGATCACGTGCCTAAGAGGAGTAAGCATTCCATGTTGTTAAGTCACATCTGCTGAGAGTCAGGTATGTGGTGGTCTCTTCCGTGAACCGCCGTACAAAGACAATGACGTAACGAATTGTCTGGACGTGATACACAAAATACGACTCAGCATTGAGTTGTATTGACAAATAAGGTGTTGCTAATCAACGAAGGATTTCTGAAAAGCTGACTGTCAACGGGGTTCTCGAAATCCCTTGTGCTTATTTGTCAGTGTAGCTTGTCTCGGTCTAAAAATTGATTGCACTCAGAACAAATTACCCCTTGTGTAAAAATTAGCAGTATAAGCATGCAGCTGTTGTTAGAATAATACTGCATTAAAATGGGGAGCTGTCGTTGGAAAATCTAAAGTCATCTTGTTTGTAATACAGTTTTAGTTAGCCGATATTGTCTCTCTTTCATCTTCTCTACCCTATACCAATATTCCAGAACCGGTAATGTCTGGCCTCATCACTTTACTCCTCACTTATATATATCAACACTAGGGAAGGAGAAAATTAAGAAGTACTGTAATACAATATATTCGAAAAGCGCGGGTTAAATCAGAGGTAAGTTTTGAAAAATCCAAGGAACATCTAAAACAGACTGTCAGACTTTCTGGTATTCTTTATTTTAAGTTCGTTTGAATATATCGAGTCGACACATGAACAGAACTTTTGCTAATTGATAAAATATCGAGGATACATGTAAAAATAGAGTTGAAGATCACAGCAAGTTTTTCTTCTTCTCTTGTAAGTTTATAAATAAAATAATAAATTCTGCTTCATATGAATACAAAAACTTCAAATAAAAGATATTTAAGTTTAAAAATTGTAATTTTATTTATACAACAACGCATTATGATAAACGTGATGACTTCAACATTTCAATCGTCCGCTTCACTTATTTATGTTGCAATATACCTTTATCACCTACATATAGGATTTTGTATCGTTGATTCGATATGCAAAAGAATGCTTCACGTAGAAACCATTTTTAAACAAATAAAGTTTTTGACCAATTATTTAATGAAACGACTTCAACAGTACTATTTAATTTCCACATTTCGAAAATTCTGTGAAAATGACTTTGTTAGCAAATAAAATATATTGTGAAGTTGTTTGTTGACTGATGTTTTTTCATACAAATTGTTAGACAGCATTTAAACACATTTGTGTACACGTTGAGTTTTTTCTTTTCTTCTCTTGGAGATTTTTATAATTTCTTGTAAATCCTTTTATACAAGAAATGGTATTCATATATTTTTTTTTACTTTTATAAAAAGGGACATTGTATTAATACAATCAAAAATATAAGCAATATCATTCATAATCAAGAATTATATACTGTGGCTTAAAATCAAATTCGTTCATTTAAAATTTTTTTGTTATGAAAACATTTTCTTCTAGATTTAAGGTAAATGTTTGCTATGTATTTATTATATTTGAAGTATAAAAGGGGAAAACGTCGTTTGGTATGCAATATATGCCACAAAGTCTAGCATATTTATTTATTACGGAAATAAATTTGAAAAATACCTTGATTTATGCGAAAATTAAATTTAAAAAGAGAGAAAGAAATTCTTTATACAATGTACTCATTTTGGGGAAAATGCATTTTTTCGTGAAATTATGCAAAACTTTTGTCATTTATAAAAGCATACAAAAATAAACTAAGAACCGCATAGATTCCCCTTAATAAAAAGTAAATATATCGTTATTTTGGAAACATTTTTCTATAGATATAAAACATGTTCTATTTGAAGGCTGTAGGCGCTTTTAGAATATGTCGTCACGTTTTTGTTTGACGATCTCCAGAATAAATGCTATTTCTTCCTTCTCCAAAAATAACAACAAAAAAACCTTGGTCAATCGTTTTTAATTAAATTAAAGAACATTTTATGACACAACAACTCTGAATCCCGTTCAGAAACATGCATGTACATACGACAAAATGAATAAAATTTACAAATAATGTAACAATAGATGTTCATGGACATACAATTAACAAAATGCTTCCTATACTCTACATTTTTAGTTTTCTGACCAAATTCAATATTCGTGTAACTAAAAACTATAGAAAAAATGCACGGTTTTTATTGATAAATGATAATGGAATCTTGCCTGTCAAAATACATAATAAGTAAACAGTAAACATTTTTCTTTTAAACATAAAAAATCGTCTTGTGATCAGCGGATGTAAAAAGAATGATGAATTGAAGTCTACTGAAAATCTTCATAAATAGATCCTTGTGTGATTGGCAAAATCATAAAGTTTTAATTTTACGGAAACTTTCAGACAACCATTTCCGTGAACTAAATATTATATACCATATCTCAATTGCATTGCCTTTCAACGTTAATATACAATTAAAACATGCTTGTGAATTATTGGGATAGTTTATTTTGAAACTTTAATATATATTAAAGTAAATGTTCATCGCTAAATTTGTGTACAGTACGAACAGAAGGCATTTAACTGACAGCTCTGTTTCTCTCAGACAAAGTCCATTATACTAAGTGTTCCAAATCTATAACAGACCCACAATTAAAACAATGCCACTATTAGAACGTAATAAATACACATTATAAACCATTTAGGCTGACATGGAAATAACAAAGAACACAAATATTAAATTACCAACAAATCATAAACAGTGATTGGAGTTGATATTTAACTATCTAATACTTCTGCTTGGGACTAAGTTGGACATTGCTGCAAACATCAACTTTTAGGGTGACGTCACAGGTTGTCACAAATATTGTTGGCTTTCTGAGATCACATGATTTATATAGGTCAACAATAACGCAGCTTTGCGAGGAATATGTTGGCTGCATCCGGGCATTCACGCTTCCGCTGAAGCAGCGACGTCACTGAAGTACTTCACTCTTCAGAATGTTTTTGTTATTTTATTGGGCGAAATTCAATGTTAACTTGGCTTTAAGTATTCTCTGAGAGGATTTTTACCTTTTCTTCGTGGACTCTCTGAAACGATTAAGCCATAGTCTGCAAAACATACGAAAGGAATCAAAGGTTTGAATCAGGTACCATTAGACATTGAAACATTTTTGATAGATATCTTTAACAAATGAAATATATGCAGATACGAGGGTTGATCCAAAAGTAATGCCACAACTCTGATAAAATTCCTATTAATAGACGTAAAACAACAAAATTATACATGATGAAAGCTTTATTTATTTCAAATCAGACCTGAAAAACTCGAAACAATATGATGTATACTTTCCAAAATATCGGATTTTAAACAATGTGCGTTTATGGTAGTCGCCGCACCTAAATATAACGTCGTACGACGGATACGCACCGTCATACTTTTAAGCATTTCCCCTTTGCTTCATTAAAACATTTTTGTGATTCGCTAACACTTTCACCAATTCTACTTTCTCTAAGAATTCTTGGTACCATTATACACTCACTCTTGTCATAATTAAGCCCTCTGTCCAAATGTTTTGAACAGTAGCAAACTTAGAAATTCACATGTCACTCTATCCGTCTTTCTTTTTGACAACGTCAGACAACATTGAACGTTTTTGTCCGATCCCCTATCTTTCGGTCTTTCTGTCCTCTGCTTATCATTCAATGACCCATCACCTACACAAAATTGCTGAAACCATCTATAAAGAAGTCTCTTATTTACATTCTTTATTCTGGGAGTATGATTAATTACCGTAACCATCGCTAGTGATGATTCCCATATTTTGAAGCAAAAATTCATTACAACTCGTCAAGCCGTTTTGCCCATTTCGACAATCCCTTTGTTCAATTCAACAGAGTAAAACAACAATGTTTATGATCACAAATACCAATACCGTCATTTAATTTTCAATTAAGGACAAGAAATTGACTTGAATTGTGTCTTTTGAAAAAAAATGAGAGAATAGGTGCTTTTTTAGAATCTTTTAATGTGTTTGTCTTTTTCATTCTCAGAAAAAAATACACTTTAAACGTGACGTTCAATTGGGACGCGGCGACACCCCCTATGCTCTATGTTTTAAACATCTTTAAAATAAAATCAAATAAACATTATTAAATAAAATTTTCAAAGTTAATTAGATTTGTATTTGTGCATCTTTTGATATGTTGTGTTTGATAATATGACGCCAAATATAAAAGATATGTAAGCTGTGACATTACTTTTGGATCAACCCTCGTAATAAGGCAGTATTCAAGCTCAAAAGTCCATTAAACAAATCAAAATAGGAGCAGAGCAAACACGGACCTACAAAACAACAGATGCGGGATCAGGTGCCATGGAGGAGTGAGCATCCCCTGCCAACCAGTCACACCCGCAGTGTGCTCCTTGTCATAATCGGAATATAACGGTAAAAACTGTCATAAATTCTATAACGGCCTAGCATCAGTATGAAAACCGTTATTCAACAAAGCAAATGACTCTGCATTATACAGGTACAATTTTTTAAGATGGTAAAATTTATTACTCATTTTTTTTTATGAAAGTGAATTATGCCTAACAGTCTAGGAAACAACCATTTCATCTTGTTTTCTTTTCTATTAAAAAGTTATGTGAGTGTTTGATTGATACCAGGGATTTATGTTGGCCTCATTTTTCTACACCTTTCCGAGAGCTTATCATTTTTCCCTTTGTATAAAACCACACAATTTTATATCGTTTTATAAAATGCTGTGTTGCAAATGTTCAAATGATGATTAATCTTTGCTTTATTTTACTTGGTTTTTTCATGCTTTCAAGGTTAATGTTGGATGGATTGTTTCAACCATTTATTTTGCCTCATTTTTTTGCAAATTCAAAAAGAGAAAAGAATCTTACCGCTTAAGTTTGTACAGCTTAACCATTCTTCTAAAGTTATTTTCTTATTTGTATTTTCGTCACAATATCTGAGAAAATTCCTGCTACACTTTCTAGTTTCTTTCTGTTTTGGTATAAGTTTGCGGAATTTTTTCACTTCTCTCCTGTCCAAGTTCTGAAAAAGAGGAGGGAAGACACCAGTAATAATTACAGATCATTTCTTTTCATGGAAAGTTAGGGCCATATGCATTTCAAGATTCATTTTCCAAACATTTATTTTTTTTTTTTTATCATAATTCTCTTTTTTCTTTGATGTATTTTATTTTTTCAAATATTTTTTTTAAATCGTTGTTTACCCTTTCAAAATATATCAGTTACGTTTCAACAATGGCCACGTACTTCAGTGGAAAGCCATCTTATTTGATTATTTTTTGAATCCTTTTTTAGATTGTTACCATGTTTTTATTCATATCCAGACTTTTGAACTTCCATCTGGCAGCCTTCTGGTAGTCAGATTCATTAGTGTTCGTGTCACTCGAACTGAAGAAAATGAAAATAGAGTGAAAGCAGCGTAAAAGGTGAGCTTTTAATAAATTCATTTTCAATATACGAGGGTTGTCCCATAAAATCGTGGACAAAGCGTTTTTCTCGAAAAGTAATGGGCGCACTAAGCTGAAATTTTCAGTAAATGTTTATTCATCATATTTAAGTGAATCATAATGTTTTTGATAATATTTATTCAAAAATAAAGATTTTATTCTGCTTGAATGTGCACAAGGTATGGTCCTACGGCGCACGGTAAAAATAGCATAGTTATATTAGAAAAGACATAAGAATTAATTCGTAATAAAAGTTTTCAATACCTAAGATTAGGATGAAAATTATCCTAGTTCCATTCCTTAATCAATTCTGTCATATTTTTAAAAATTTGAAGGCATTTGGTTAATTTTTGGCATTTTCCCGAGCAATTGAAATGGGAAAGTAATAAACACAATACACGAAAAATGGCGACTTTTTATGACGTTACGGCGCACCGGAGAGCAGTTCAGATAGATTAGGATGTTGTAATGACGCCTTAAGAGACTTTAAATGAATACGGAAGAAAGAAAATATGAAAAATATCACCAGATCTTTAGTATATAAATGAAATGAATGTTTTCTTAGTGAAGTCTTCGTGGTCCAGTCCCCAGATAGTACAAAACATATGGACAGACTGCCATTTGTAATAGGAAAGGACGCTGTCACTGTCGACCGTCGATGTGAGATTCTCTTTTAGTTGAATGATGGTGAGAATACTGTCTGTAACTTGCTAATAAATATTAAGAAGATCGCATGAGTGTGCCACATTGGTTTCTTAACTGGTTATAGATACTCACATATGTAAATCAATAAAATTTCTAAATTTAAGTGGAGCTTATCCAACTTTAAGTTTAGCAAGATGAAACGTGACGCTGTTTTAGACACTTTGACGTTATCATCCGTGCTCCGTAGGGCGATACAGTACATAACATAAAATATCACAATTTGTTTACCTATGCATATATCTATTTGAAATTTGCTATGTATATTCATAATTTATCTACTAAAAAGTGGTGAAAATTTCAGAACGCAGTGATGATTATTTTTCAAACTAGACAACTTGTCCACGATTTTACGGGACAACCCTCGTAATATTAATAGTAATACATGATGAATGCCAGACCTAGTAGCAAGACCTATCACATGCACAATTCAGGCAAAGTTGATCAAACGATCTGCTTATTTCTGGTAAAGAGAAAATGTTTGACATTCTATAAACTGTGCCCAGCTGTGGCTACCCAAATAGGGACATGCTGGGGTCAAATAGGGTCAAACTGAAGAACGGTAGATAAGCAGGTCACACATATCAGTCGTATCGTTTTGACAAACAGACGGTGTCACCGCTGGAAGATTGACGGCCCTGGAAGTCGTCCATTACCTACCGTGGGTCCCCCGGGATCAATACGGTTATTATTAGGTCAGGACTTAATGATTGGCTTAAATCAAGTAATGTCCTCTCTCCTCTTATCTCTTATTTTATTCTGACGGTAAGACTGTCTTAATTAACGTGTCGACATAAACTGTGCTCAGCCCCCGTGATGCCAGCCTTAAATAGCTGATACCCGTCCCATTATTTTGGAACACGTGGAGTTTATGAGCAACACACCTGCGCCAAGTTTTCTTACTACACCTGTAGGCTCTCCAAGTTTTATTGATAATTCAAAGGCAGGTGAAACAATTACACAAATGTTTGGAAATTTAATGCTACATTTGAAACATAAAATAAGAACATTGAATACTGTCATGAATTTATAGCCGTAGTATGACACATCTAAAGGGAAAACAGAATTTTATGTGCAACGTCTTTTCTTGCACCTTTCCTCTTCTCATATTGAACTGAAAACTAAAATATTACAGACATACGTCAGGGGATTATATATATATTTATCTGCTGATGAGATATCGGAAATTTATTTCATTATGCTAATCCCTACATCCTAAAATGTCGCTGTCCTAATATTACATAATCAAATCAAAGATGGACTCCTTTGCATAATCATGTGCGTAGGTTTTAATAGGATGATAAAAATTGAAATGAAATTTTACCTTCCCGTGGAATCGTTCTTCATCTCTGACACAAACATATTCAGTAAACCAGTTAAAAACCTAGCTTTCTTGACAAATGGACAACCTTGAAAAATCAAAGAAAAGAGCCTTGTAAATATAGAAAATGTGTACACTCACCTTGATTTTTTAAAATAATTATGCAATATATAAAATTATATCGGAAAAAAGATTAAGTTAAACTACTTTTTGTATGGTAAAAAGTAAGTTAATTTTCAGATGACGTACAAAAATGCTGCTTCTGAAATTTCGGTAATCCAGCCAAAAAATCAAATCTCACAGAATAATGACACAAAATTACACGTGAAAATGACTAATGTTTTTACCTGAAGAAAAGTATTAACACTATAAGTACACTTTGATGCTTACCAGGCATTTCACGCTCTGTTGTAATATTGCACTGCGGAGGGCCTTTAGAGGCCAGTTTAGCTTTTATGCCTTTAAGCGGCATCCCTGTTTCTCGATCAGCGCACCAGCAATATTTGTGACATTGCACGATGTTATATTTGCCGTCAGGAGAACACTGCGGTATATAGATCCCCCCGTCAGGATCCGCCGACCGTTGGTTGAGGGAGAGAGCCCGCTCCTCAGAACAACTCTTTCTTCCAAGGCCAACTGTACAAGAAAAATACCTTGTTAAAGGTGACTTTGTATTACTGAATATAAATATACAGATTTAATAAATTTTGTAGAAATATTGAACAATTTATTGTGAAAGATTACAGAAGCAAAGCTAGACTTTTTGGGTTTTGTCAATAAAAAGCGTGTAACACCATCCCCTCGCTCTGAAAAGCTTTTGCGGTAAGCCGGAACAGGTCAGGTGACAGCGCGTGGTTTTAGACGCTACCACCAGCGGGTGTCGAAGCAGAGATGGAACGAGGTGACAAAACATTTAACCAATAATTTTAATTTTACCATAGTCCCCTCACTAGCGACTGCAATTAGGGTTAATGCATGGAATTCTTTAAAATTGAAATAAATGATTACTAATGATTCCTCTATAACCACATTTGTAAAACAATGTCTACAACTCATGTATAAAACTAAATAAACCTTTTATTAGTAACTACTTTTTTATTTTAGAAAAAAGTATTGAATAAAAAAGATCAGCAAGTGCTTTAAAGAAGTCAAGTTCGAATCGAAGAGAATAAGAAAAATGAGATAAAAACGTGCATTGGATAGTCTCAGAAGGAAAATACAACATCCCTTCAACCTTAAATCTTAACTGATATCACAACTGTTATTGTTGAAAAAAGAAATATATAACCGATATGGATGAGATCATCTTCTCTCGTTTATCTTTAATACTTTATTAACTATTTGTGGACATTACACATGGACTGAAATGGCGACTAA